GTGAGCAACAGGTGAGCACGATGGATGTTACTATTATGATTCTTCTCTTTTGTTAAATGTTTTTATTGATAATCTTGAAAATTATTTTTACAGAGCTGCGAAGCGCTCGCGTCGGCTTTATCGCGTGGCGACTTTGTCGATTTCACCACGCAACTGGAAGGATTGGCGTCGATATATCAGCTGAACGCCGACAAGAAAGTAAAGTGCAAGGCATTCAGCGCTCTGCAATCTCTCGAAGCTGATCTAGGTGTTCTAGCGCAGTTGCAAACGTTTATGAAGGAACCGTTCAACTTAGTTCACAAGAGTCCCGTTGGTTAGCAATCTAATATATATTGATTCTTGTATAACTTATATTTCACAGACAAAATTAAGACAGCTATTATTTATTTATTATTTAAGCGCAAGTGCACTTATATGCATATATATCCATTTCTGCAATGAGTTGACGTGACTGAATTATTGCCTAGGAATTCTGGAAAGAAGGAGAGGCGGCCATCCGATGAAATTGACGTATTTTGTCTCTCCATATGATTTGATCGACGAAGAGAATCGTACCTACGATGCTTTGAATCCCGATGTCATCGTTAAACGGAAAATTGGTCACTCGGTGACCGTTTGTATGGAAGGTTCGATGGGTCATAAGCTACCTACATCCAGTATCATAACTGTAAATAAAAGTCCCACGGGCAAGAGGTACGTTGGATGAAACCGCATTTCTATTATTTATTTATTTATTTTCTTATATAATGATAGTAATTTGTAGTGATAGTTACATATTTTTATCATTTTCATTTTCTATACTTTTTTCCGTTTCTTTATATTATTTTTTCCTTTCATTTAATTACGATTATAAATTTATATCATTAACATTGCTATTTCTTCCAGTACACCTTCATACGCTTCGTTGACCAGCACAAATTCCTCCATGCTGCCTGCTTGCTTCGTGCTGAAACTCGGCAAAAAAATGCCAATCTGCATGGAGCTGGTGAGGAGAATACAGAAAGTCACAGAGCTTGATTGCGGTGATATCTCCGCGCCACATCCGATGCTCAGTCTGATAATACAGCACGCAAGTGATGGTCAACTGGACTGTCGCAATAATAAGGGTCTGTATGTGGTAAGTGGCAAGTTTGGTAAAAATATCGATTTTATAATATAAAATAGATACAATAGATGAAAGTGATTGATTAAATTTGATGATTCTATAATATTTCCTGAATTAATCAAAGAGCCCATTTCCAAATCATCTTAAATCCAGATTTTTAAGAAAATGAAATTATTTATTTAAGACAGTTAGCAAATCTTTTTTATTCGTTTATAATATAAAATTATA